CCATCTTAGATCACATTAACTTTAGTATTTTTTTAAAAAATACTACTATTTCTACTACTTCCACTATTCATATTTGGAATATATACATGCATCAGTATTGGTATCCTCTTATCTTCACTACCGGTTCGGTAGCGGGAGCGCGCACACCCATGCACGTGGTACGTCTGGGCATGCACAGAACCTTCTTGATGACGTCTGGGTGGGTGGGCGGAGCCTCACGCTGCCGTTACTACCAGTTTGTCCGAACTGGTGCGAACCAACAGAATACCACCTCTGACATATGCACATATACATACACACACATATATATGCAGTATTGTGTGTGTGTGTGTGTGTGTGTTATACTGTATATATTATACAATCTATAATATAAACTATTCACATATATACTATACTATACACTATACTAAACTATACTGTACATATGTATATAGTTTACATATAGAAAATACAGGGCTTCATTTCTAAACTTAGGACAAGCAAGTAATTTTCAAGAAAGAGACAGATATTGAAGGAACTGTTATTGCTCTGTTACCAACTTGAGTTTCTGCTGTTTTTCTTAATCCCTTGTAATCCCTGGGTTTCATCCTCGCCAGACACTGTCTTCTGCTGGAGTTAGGAACCTTCACTCTAAAACACTCTTGTAGAAATGAACTCAAACTCTCTGTCTTGGATTCTCTGTCTTTGGAACTTCTTGCCATATGAGCACCTTCCCCCAAAATATTACCATGCTAATTTGCCGCCAGAGATGAAACGAGTATCACCAAGATTTTTTGCTATTGAAAGCTGCCATTTTTCCCCCCGCAAGGGGAGATTAATTCTGGCAACTTGGTGTGCCTTACTTTCTTGCTTTCTGATAAAAAAAAAATAGACAGGAAATCTTGCTGCCAGTTTCAGAGGCACCATTTCTAAGGAACTTAGAGGTCATAGAACCCTCATATGTATTTTAAATTACTGATAAAATATTAGTGGATAACCACTAATTTTTGATTTATGGATCAGCTAGTAATAAATTTGTCATAACCACCAACCTCTTTTTTAATATTCAGTTATGAAAGTGCTAAGCACATAGAGGCTTACCTATGTAACCTGGAATGGTTTGGCTAGTATAGTTAAAACAAAGCATTAGATTAACGCACACAGCTGGTTGTCCATTTCTCACACAGTCCAGTATGGTTTGGTTTACAGAGTTGGGGTGTTTTAAGGATGATTCCACAATAATTACAGCCCTCGTCCTAAAAAAGGGGAAATTTTGTGATCACAAAATGTTCTATCAATATTAATAATGACGGGCATTCAATTTTTTAAAGACATACACAAGGATTTAGATTCTAACAGATCAAATGACATATTAATTAAATAGCACACGTCTAATTTATTATTTAAGATCAGGATTGAGCTGAAAATAAGAGATTGACTTTTTCTTTCCTTGCTTGTCTTTCCTGCTCAAAGTGCCATTTGCCTTTCTGTGTGATAACATAAAGAGAATTTATAGAAAGGCATAGATGGGGATGAAAGAATTGGGCCACTTCTGAAAGTTTAAAATCTCTATCTGGATCAGAGTACCATACTTACTTTGAAAACAGATTGAGTTTTGTGCTATGTACAGATAAATATTTTAACTTGAGAAAGTTTGATGAAGAAATGCTATTTTCCTTTTGCCTTCAAATCATCCTCTGATTGTTAATGATCACCTAATGGCAATATCTTAGTATGCAAGATTTGACTGTGAGATATATAAATTCTAAGGTTTCCATTGCTTAGACCATAACTTCTAATGGTCCCATATATTAAAGATTTAAGTGATATACTAATACTCTAGCTTAGTGATTAAGTTCAGAATTTAATAGAGAGTGATTAAATCATATATATATGCATATGTATTTAAAGTCACAACCCCTAGTATGCCCAAACATGGGAGGAAGACAACTGCTTCCATTCTCTGTCCATCGGCTCGTCACAAGAGACCAT